TCAGATATATCCTCCTGAAGCTGCAGATTCAGTGCCATCCTTTGAAATTAATTCTTCTTGGGGGAGGGGGACTTTCTACTCCTATAAACAGTTACCGTCTTGGAAACTTACACAGGCAGGTCTACCTTGTCCTATAGGGTTACTGTTACTCAACATTGAATTGATGGCAGTGAGTTTGAGTTTTTGATTCTGAAATATTTGACCTGATTTGGTTGAAAGTAATTGATATAAAAACTCAATACCCAATTGGTGAAATTGCTTTAAGGAGTCACTTGCATTTTAGAAGGAAATCACTCCCCACTGTAGACTAAGAAAATATTTTGGTTTTATTTATTTGTTCTTTCAGACAAAAGGAACCTTGATGCCGTAATGAGTTACAAGTTACCCTTAAGGTCACCAATTTGAAACCAGCTACTCTGTGGAAGAAAGATGAGGCTTTCTGCTTATGTAAAGATTTGTAGCCTCAGAAACCCTCAGATTTGTAGCCTCAGAAACCCTCAGAAACCCTTATTCTACCCTGTATTATTTACTTGCCATGAGTTGGAATCACTTCAGTAGCAGTGAATTTTTAAGCAGAAGACTTGAAAAAACCATTCCTTCTCTTTGTTTTCTCCATACTTAACTATACTCCTAATACTATATATGCATGTACCCACTGCATAAAGCGCTCTGGAATTTGAAGTTCAGTGGGACATCTCTAAGAAGGAAAGAAACCCTATTTTATATACTTTGAATTAAGATATAACTTCTTTTTGGAAAAATACTTCATTCCAGGTCTGGCTTAGGGAAAGTTCCAGTGTCATCTTTTATGTCGTGCCAGAATGCAGGGAGTTACACAATGATGAGGACATATCACAAGGACACAGAAGCCAAATAGGACAATTTGAGCACAAAATAATATTGATTGTAACGGATCCTAACCAACTGAATAATATAAATGCTCTTGTGTCAATATTGACTTTGGCTGACTTTACTTTTATCAGCAATCAGCAGTAATGATAGGATGCAAAAATAAGTATGAAGCATCACTTCTGTGAGTTCCTATATTATAGATATGTCCAACCCGGCTTATCCCAGGAGGGATGCCTTACCTCTTCCTCAAATCAGCACCAACGTCAGCCTTACCATTTTAGTGCACTTAAGTTCCACTTTTCCAATTCTCAGGCCAGAAGCCTCAGGCTCATCTGTGACTTCTTTCTTTCTCTCAAATCCCACATATAAGTCAGATTTTAACTCAATAGCAATTGGTTTGGCTTGGTTTTCTGTCTTTAGTGTCTATCTTCTTAAGTTACCATCTTCACTCCTACTACTCCGATCTGAACCATCATTTTTCTTACACTAATGACTTCAGACAAATCTCGCTAGAGCCATGCTTGCCTCCAGTCCACTTTCTAAATAACACTCAGCATGAACCTCTACCCAGACCTCTGCAGAAGCTGCTCATCGCATTCAGAGTAAAAGTCAGTGGCTTCACAATGGCCCCAAGACTGTGATCTCTAGAGACCCAGCTGTTTATTGTGTCTCCTATTATTCCCCTGCGTTCTTTTTACTGAATAAGAGCGAAAAAACAAATTAAATCGTGTTTTATCCCTGAAAGGTCGCCTTGCGTCTATGTTAAGGCTTTTGATCCATTTCCTAGAATGCTTTCAGAGATACTCACTTGGTTATTTTTCTCATCTCCTTCATGCCCACACCTCACCTCAACTTTTCAGGGACACCTAGACCGACTGCTAGAATATATATTTTTAGTGTTTATAGTCTGTCCCATCCCATTATTAGCCCTACAAGAGCAAGAATATTGGGGTTTTTAAAGTGCCCAAGCAGTCCTGGCGAACAGTAAGCAATCAGTAAATATGAATCTAAAGAATGGTTCTCACCAAAAAGATTCACTGAAGCAGAATCTTTGATATGTGCTTTATTTTTTTTTTAATTTTAATTTAATTTAATTTTTTTATTTCTAAATGTCAGAGTTCTTGGTCAGACTTGCAAGCGCTTTTAAACAAGTCCTTGGCAACCTCCAAATTATTCTTGGTGACCTTGATATCCCTGTGGCTATAGTCCTGAGACCAGAGGGCATATAAAAATAATCACCTTTTGATATGTGCTTTAACAAAAGTTCCATAGATGGTTCTCCTTATACTATACTATAGCTAAGAACCACTATAAGATGGGATTATGGGTTGAATTGTGTCCCTCTCTGCACCCCTCAATATGTGTTGCAATCCTAACCACTATACCTGTGGATGTAATCCCATCGGGAAAACAAATTTTATTTGTTATATTATCAGGCCATATCAATATAAAGTGCGTGTCAAACCTACTCATTTTTGAAATATCAAAGAGCAGATTAGGCAGAGATGCAAACACAAATTGGGGGATGATAGAGACTAAGTGGAAATTTCAGAGGAACTCTGAGCAGAATGCTGGAGAAACAGTAGGATTTCGCCATAGGAGTGGGCAGAGGATACCACTTTACAGAGGATTGGAGGCTAAGAATGACAAATTAGAAAGAAGAGGATGTTGCTGAAATTGGGTAAAATTCCAGGATGGAAGTAGCATTGAAAGAAGTTGAGTTCAAATCATGACACACACAAAAACTACAGTATGCATTTTGCCTTAATGAGAATCAGATCGGGCGCAATTCCCACACCGTGTCTTCAGTGTTGTCCCCTGTAGGGCTATGAGTCAGCTCACTGTCTCTCTCGAAAAAAGGCCACACTCCCAAGGAGGCATCACCAGGCTGATTCACAATCTGATTGACAGGTTGAAATTCTACCTTTGCCTCCACACAGGTACCATCAAATCTAACCATCATAAGTTCTAACACGTTTTTGTTGTTGAAAGAACAAACGTTATGGTTATTTACAGTGGCCTCATATACAAGATTTTTGAGTCACTTGTAATTTCAAATACTTTGACCCTTAAGTATAGTCCTTTTGTCATTTTTAATTTGTTAACTATGGTTTGCTGCCTTTGTCGAGCATGTGGTCAAAGTATCATGGGAGTCAAGAGGCCAAAGCGGGGGGTGGGGTGGGGAAGAGGCCAAAGGAACTAATTTTACTTAGAGGAGAATGAAGGGAGACATTGAATACTACCTCCTAGGCTAGTGACATTTGAGCTTTGTATTAAAACTCGTGTCTGAATTGGCTATGTAGAACACAGTAAGAAGTGTCCTGGGAAGATAACTGACTATGCACTAGGACCCATGGGCCAAAAATATTGATTTTATGTGCCGGGAATGATGAAAATAGATAACTCAGAATCTGTTTTTGTAGTGTATAGTAGTGACTAGATAGGAACTTGGAAAAGTGTATGGGAATAGCTGGGTAGGACCTTGAATGTAAGAATTTAGATTTGATTTTAACTTGAACACTGGAAGGAATAATAGTGATTAGGATAAACTTCCTCTTTCAACAAGTGAGGATATTGAAGAGGTTATTGCTAGAGTTGGACTTGGATTTATTTTACTTCTTTGCTCAGTAAATAAATTGTTTAGTAAAACCATTTTAAAAACATTTCACTTTCTGATCTGAATTGTATTTTTGGTACGCGTCACATAACCTACATTCAATATTTTGTCACTGGTTTATCATAGTTAATATTGGGCTCTTAGGAGGAATACACTTCTGTTGGTTGCCACAAGATGGCATTGGCCTCACAGTTATTCTGTCAGAGGACTATTATCCTTTTTTGTTTCTCATGTGAATTCTAATGGATGGATATTAACGTCCATCGTTAATATTAGTGAATTTTCCCCTTTTGGGCCAGTCTATAAAGTTAAAAAAAATATGTGTTAGGTGTAAAATTTTCAAACACTGTAGAAATATGTAACTGGGAAGTGAAAACCCTATTCTACTTTATTAGTACATATTAGAGCTGCTTTTTTAAAATGACAAAATAGTTTAAAAAATATTATATAATAGTACCGTATTAATGATTCCCTATAAGTTGCCAGTATATTTTACTTACATTTTTCCCATTTAGGCTAACAGTTATAAGTTTTTCTATCTTGTAATAATTGTTTTAAATTGTTTGTTTTCTCTATTGCTTTATCCAGTGGTTTTATTTTTTAATTGAAACAATTGCTGCATTCCTATTAGTATATATTGCCATGGTAGCTAATTAAATGAAATTGTGAAATGAATACTTAACACTTAAAACAGGAATGTGGCTTCAATGTACTCTTTGTGAAGTGTGTCAATAACTGTCTTCAGTGCAGGTGGCCCCTGACTTGCTATGGGGTTACATTCCAATGACTCCACTGGTTCTGACCTAAGTTAAATCTCTTTTTTAAGCTTTCATTGTTATTCCTTTTTACTATCAGTATCTTTATAAATCTGATCTTCGTCTTTGGGAGTTGGAAACATTACATATAAACTTTGATATATATCAATACATACATAAAAACATACACAAATCATAAAAATGTACTCTGATGAAGAGGTATTGGGATTAGAGTTATATCATTTGACCTCCAAATCTATGTATTTTATGAAATGTTTATATAATACTTTTAATTTAAAAATTTAAACAATTTTTTTACTTCCATATTAATTGCCTTATCAGATTATTTGTGACAATTGCTCTGTTTTCTTTCAGGTTGTTTTTGAGCACGTTCACTCTAGCAGTTTCAGCTGGTGCTGTTTTGCTTTTACCCTTCTCAATAATCAGCAATGAGATCCTGCTTTCTTTTCCTCAAAACTACTATATTCAATGGCTAAATGGCTCCCTGATTCATGGTCAGTATATATTGCATAATATAATGATAATCAATATTTTACTCTTAACTAAATTGTATTTTAAAATATTTATTTTCTTAATTTTGATCATAATTTGCAATTTCTTGCAGTAAGCTCTCGGAGTCCTTAATAAAATCAGAAAACCAGAATGTTTACCTAACATTCTTATTCATCATTGGTTGTGAAAGACTCTCTTCTCTTTTACTCAGTCAAGAAGCAGTTTTATACTTACCATGATTTTGATAAATAAAATTTCATTGAAATATTTAGTAATAGAAAATTGGCTTGTCTGGATTTGTTAGTAGAACTTAAGCTCCATCTTAAGACCTAAAATAATAAACCATAGTTTTTATTTTATTTTTGATTCACTTTTTAGTCATTTCAAAATATATGATAAAATAAATTTGTTCTGTCAAGTACAAATTTTGAAATTCATGTGATTGAAAAATTATTGTGAGTAACCTGCAGTGCTTTGGAGCTATACAGACCCGCATCCAAATCTTGACTCTGCTCTTCTCCAGTTGACTCTGCACAAGTCACTATTGTTCTTTGATCTCAGCTTCCTGGTCTCTTGAATTGAGAGTATAAACTTTCCCTTGGAGGCTTGATTTTAGGATGAAAAATAATGTATGTAAATATCTGTCTCTTAATAAGGGGTAGCTATTAATATGATATTTATATTGTGAGGTATTTTTCTTTACTATTTTTGAAGAATCTTACTGTTTTTTTTTACATATCAGTGTGTGGTCCTTTAAATTTTTCTCTCATAGAAAGTGCTCGAGTAAAAATAGAAAGAAAAAAAAAAAGAAAGTGCTCATGCAATTTTTTGAGGGGGGGAGTATAGTTTTGTAATTATCTGAGTTGATTACAACTCTTAGAGATTTTGATATCTTCCTTATTTTCTCATGTCTCTAGACCCCATTTTATTTGTGGTGTTCCTTTGTGTTACTGGTTGTGATGTATTCTTAGATATTAGCTTTTAGTGTCATTAGTTATACTGTTACTAGCTATTAGTGCTCATACTGATATGGGTGGTGCAACAGTGAGCTAGCTTGGCTGCTAAAGGTTGGAGGTTTGAGTCTCCACAACGACACCTCAAAAGGAAGGCTTGGTCTTTTGAAAAATCAGCCACCGAAACAGAATGTTCTGCATTCTGCTTTGGTGAGTAGTGACGGGATCTTAAAAGTCTGCATATGGCCTTTTGAGATGCAGCTATTGGTTTTCCTCATCTGGAGTGAAGATGAAGTGAAATTCAAACACTCAAGGAAAGAATTGGTCTCAAGGACTAATGGACTATGTGAACCACAGCCTCTCCTAGACTGTGACTATGAGGCGCACAGTAGAAAGCCCAAGGAGGGAGAGGAAATAAAACGTAGAACTAAATTCAACATCATAAAAAAGACCAGACATACTGGTCTGAGGAAGACTGTTGGACCCTCTTAGACACCTTTGAAGCCTGGAATAGACCCTCTGCCTGCCACTTGTGATGCCTTAATAAAAAAAATTATAATAACTATTCCCTCATTTTTTCTCGATTGTAGGAATCATATGTGCCTGTTCTATAGGATTTGAAAAATATTGAAATATACAAAGAAGAAAATACAGTCCACTCTTTTTTAGTGTATGTGTGTACATGTGAAATACCATATGCAATATGCATTCTTTTTAGGTATAGTGCATTTTCCCCATACCATTAAATGTTCTTTGAAAATAGTTTCAAATGATTGTAACCTGATTTGCATGTTACAATATGTAAATGCAGTGGTTTTCAAATGTTATCTTGTTTTTAATAAGTAAGCCATTTATTCCTCCAATCACACACACACACACACACAGACACACACACACACACATATATTTCAGATTTGGTTTTGACAACAGCTACACTGTTCTTTAGGAAGTGAACCTCCTCTCTCTCTTGTGAAACATTTTGCTTAAACATTCTGTTGTTGAGAGGAGCCATGGTGGTGAAGTAATTACACATTGAGTTGAGGTCTGCAAGACAGGCAGTTTGAAACCACTAGCTGCTTCACAGGAGAAAGACGGGGCTTTCTGCTACATGAAGTTATGGTCTCAGAGACCCACAGGGGCTGTTCTACCCTGTCATGTAGGGTTGCTGTGAGTCAGCACCGACTTGATGGCAGTGAGTCTGGTTTGGATTTGGCTTATTCTATTGTTGAGCATTTAGAGGGTTTTCCAAATTAAAAATTTTTTTTTCAAATTTTTAATTTTTAGGTTTCATTAAATAATGCCATTTCCATAGGTAATTATAATCATTGGCCTAGTGTTTTTCTTCTTAATAATTATGTGAGGAAATGGCATTATCTAACGTTAATGTCTGATAGGTTCATCATGATTTGGAATCGACTTGATGGCAATGAACTTGATTTTTGGTTAAAGGCTTGCGGATGCGTTCCCACATTCCCACTATTTTTTTTTCAATTACCAACTTAGTATCATTGAATACTTTTATCTCTAAAATCTCTGCCTATTTTAAGATAAAAAGTGTTTTTTTCATTATTGCAATTTCAATTTTTCTTAATTTTTAATGAGAACATTTTAATTTACAAAATAGAGAAAATATTTACCCCTGTTTGATATCTTTTTGCCCATTTTTTGTTGTTTTTGAAACATCAGCCTTTTTTCCAATTTTTGCGAGTATTTTTCTTTAGTTATTTTGCTTAAATTTTTAATTTGTCTTTTTGTTACAAGAAAAGTATTCCTTTAGTTTCTTTCCTACTAAAAGTTAAAAAAATAGGCTCTTCCACTCATGTTTTAACGTTAAAAAATTTATCTTTAGTACCTAATTTTTAATTCATCTAGAGTTTATATGGGTAACTCACTTTTCTTTCTGCCATTCCTGTAGTCATCCCAGTACTGCTGATTTTTTTTTCACTGATTATTGGTGATCCATGTTCGATATGTTAAATTATTAAATTAGGGTCTGTGTTAGTCTGGGTAGACTAGAAAAACAAATTCATAGACACTCATATATGTTTAAGAAAGAGCTTTATTCTGGTGTTTTAAAGGCTTGAAGGTAAACAAACGGTCATCTAGTTCAGAAGCAACAAAGCCCACATGGAAGAACCACACCAGCCTGTGTGACCATGAGCTGTCGAAGGGATCAGGTATCAAGCATCAAAGAACAAAAAATCATATAATTGTAAATGAGAGTGAGTGCAGAGTAGAGACTCAAAGCCCATTGGTAGGCAACTGGACACCCCCTTACTGAAGGGTTGGGGGAGCAGATAAGCCAGTCAGGGTGCAGGGTAGCAATGATGAAACATATAACTTTCTTCTAGTTCTTAAATGCTTCCTCCTCCCCACTATCATGATCCCAATTCTACCTTACAAATCTGGCTAGACCAGAGGATGTACATTGGTACATATAGCAACTGGAAACACAG